TCTATAAGGAATTACACATAAGTCAAAAAGCATTTTATACTTACGAAAATTTGTACTTATCTCCACTAAGAAGCTTCTTTGAAAAGACGTTCTGCAAACTGAAACAAAACAAATGTATTTTCTTCATTTAAATGGAAAATGGTAATGCCAATCTGAATAAACAATACCTCTGCAGCTCATTACAAACAATATACGGATTTTAAATTAGTTCTCTTTTAAAAGAAAACCTGGAAGGCCACATATTTGGGAACGTCCACTGTTTGAAAATAACCATACCCTGGGTAACCATCCTCAACACTGCTTTATCACTTACTGAGTCTGACAAGCACCCAGTGAGCTTAAAAGGGGTAAGTTTACCTTTTGACCATAAATATACATTTTTTTTTAATGGTAAAAAATGTGCATTTATTATTTTTGGCTGTGAGAACCTGTAATGCATTGCACTAGTGATCAGCAGATCACTGATGACATGCAGTACACCTGCAGACCTGTCAAGTATATCTGCTTTCCCATACGGAATGTACGGGCAAGCACACATGACAGGAAGATTCAATGAACTACCATGGCACAGAACAGTGCAGTGGTAGTTTGAGAACTACAAGCCGACAGCCGCTAAGGGACTTGAAGTTCACTCATTCACAGAACACTGTGAATGAATGATGCGGCCCGCGTGGGCAGAGTCCCGCATGGCAACGCTGTTTTTAAAAAGTGACAGCTAGTACAGGGAATTGGGCAGCGGCTGCAACACTGGGAACATGTTACACCCTAAAAAAGGGTAGAACATGTAACATGGTCCCGAAGGTAAACTTATCCTTTAATTTAAAGTGAAAAATCACCAACGGTGATGTTACACTTATGTCATGGTATGTCATGGTACTCCAGCCATAACCTTATACTCACCTGTCCCTGATTCACCTAGATATTGAGTGTGCGACTACACCAGCCCTGCACAATAGCTTGTCAAAAATCTTACTAGCCAGGCCACTCATGCTCTCCGATTCAACCACATGGTGCTCTCTGGATTACCAGCTTTTATTGCAGACTATCTCTCCATATAAACTGAATGAAAGCGCATCTGTGGGTCACAAAGATTTTGGCAAGCAGCCAATATCTGGATGGACCAGGAACAGGTGAGAATAAGCCAGGAAGAGCTGCACAAACAGCAGGGCATTGGTTAAGTATTTTTTTTTAGGGGGGGGGGGGGTCAAATAAGTTGTCATTTTAGCATAAAAATGGGGTAATACACCGCCTGACATACACAGATCAGTCATAACATAATGGCCATCCACCATGAGCTGTTGAGGCATGGACTCCAATAGGCCTCTGAAGGTACACTGTGGTATCTGGCACCAAGCTGTCAGTAGCAGATTATTTAAGTCTTGTATGTGCAAGGTGGGGCCTCCAAGGATCAGACTTGTTTTTCCAGCACATCCTACAGATGCTTAAGTAGATTGAAATATGGAGAATTTGGAGGCAAAGGCAACACCCTCAAACTTTTGTAGTGTTCCTCAAACCAATCTTGAATTCATCACGCCACAACGCCTTCTTCCACTGCTCCGGGTCCAGTTCTGATGCTCACATGCCCATTGTAGGCGCTATTAGCAGTAGACACAGGTCAACATCAGCACCCTGACCGGTCTGTGGTTAAGAAGCCTCATACACAACAAACTGTGATGCACCGTGTTTTGACACCTATCTTAACCAACATTACCTTTTTCAGCAATCTGAGCTAAAGTAGCTTTTCTACTGGATCAGATTACAAGGCCAGCCTTGACTCTCCATATGCATTATTGAGCCTTGGCGGTCCACGGGCCTCTCGCCTGTTCACCATTTTTCCTTCCTTGGACCACTTTTGGTAGGTTCTGACATCTGCAGGCCGAGAACATCCCACAAGAGCTGCAGTTTTGGAGATGCTCTGACACAGCTGTCTAGCCATTAAAATTGGCCCTCGTCAGGTTCACTTGCTGTTTAATAAATCCAACTGACTTGCAGATGCCAATCTAACAAAGCAATTGATGTTATTCACTTTACCAGTCAGTGGTCATAATGTTATGGCTGATTGGTGTATAAACCAATTAAGAAGACTTCTCCATGAATATTTTTTTTCTGACAAGGGTACCACAATGATCTTACCAGTCCATGATGTTTGTAGATAAGGCTGCAGAGAAGCCAAGAACATTGAAACTGATTTCGGTTGCAGTGCAGAGTGCAAGACCTCCCATCACTGGCAGAAGGGACAGATTCACCATCATTCCTGCAAGTTAAAATATTAACGTTAAAAAGGAAGTGAAGATTAAAAATCACACCAAAACCTTGTCACAACCCAGCAATAGGGGCTGTAGCTTTCATGCTGGTATTTAAGAAAAAAAAAAAGCTCAAATCAGAGCTTGCAAATGTACAGGCAAATGTATATTTTAGTTCCGAGAACCACCCTACCACAACAACCTATGAACTGAAGACAATGACTTCAATGGATTCTATCAATCTCAAATAAAGGAAATCCATGATTAGTGGGCCATCCATGGCTGATCTCTTTCGGAAAATCCTAGTTGCCTGGCTTTAATTTAAGAACCGGTTCTTTCCTCTGAAGATGTGCTTGGCACGCAACGCGTAAGGAGGAACCTACGCACGCCTTGACGCCACGCCGTCGGAGCACTGGGGAGCTCCGGCGGCCACTACATCTGACAGGACGGTTAGTCCTGTTTGCTTTGGCTGCTGATACAATATTTGTTGGCGGTGTTTTATCCAATCTGGATGCATCCTGTTTTTTACTCTAAATAAATGTTTTATATTATACCTTACTATGGGCATTTCTCTTTGTGAGGAGTTTCTCCCTTAGATACCGAGGATGCAAAGTGAAGGATGTGACTGCTTCCTTATTTATCTCGGGAACGGCTTCTTAGACCTGGGGATCTTCATTGATCCGGGGATCACATCTACCCAACTTCAACTGCATCTTTACCACAGTATACACATTATTCCGTTTTTGGGACTTTATATTGACTTTGGATACCTATTAAGCACATTGACTACTTATTTTCTTTTTATTTTTATTTTATTTTTTATTTATTTTTTTCTAGCGCTGCACTTTTTACTTGGCTTTAATTTAACCCTGTGGTTTCAATGCTTTTTAAGTGATTGACCCAGAGCATGGAGGCAGAAAAGCCAGAAGTCCTGATCACCAAACTTTAGGGTCACTGCATAGAGTATTAAACCTTTCCTGCTTCCGCCTCTCAGGCCTTTACCAGGATCAAATGCTGAGAGGCAGAGGAGGACATTCCAATCATGTGACGGCTGTGATTGGCAGTTACAGCAGTCAAATAATCAGAAAGCTCCTGATTGCGTCGGGAGCTTTCCAGTATCTGTTTGTAACTGTACAGGGAGCGCGCTCTCAGCACAGTAAAGTGTTTATCTAGGGATGCATGTATGCGGCCACTTGGTATTAAAGCCCACCCGCCAAGAGGCAGCATATATGCACCAGGTAGGCTGGAAGTGGTTAAAGTCAGAGCGTCAGCAAGAAAGCTGGGAAGTGATAATTTAAAGTGGTTGTAAACCTCAGACATGAAATATGAACAAAGCATATCTTTCAATAGTGTGTACTAAGAGCACTAAATGTCATTTCTGTCTGCTGCTTCTTTCCTCTGCTATCAGTATGAATCCCTTCTGCCAAGTTTTGCTTACACCAAGGGAAAAAAAAAACGGTTATAGGGGAAGAAACTCCAAAACAGTGTCTGTAATGGGCAGCCTCAGCTCTGTTCCTGTGTGCTGTTACCTTCTAAAGAATAATGGTCTTTTCATAAAAAAAAAAACAATTATCTGTTTACACCCTAAACTTTTTTTTACACCCCTCCTTACCCACCTGGGATATACAGTGCATTCACTAATGTATTCAGACTCCCTTCACTTTTTTCAATTTTGTTATGTTGCAGTCTGATACTATAGTTGTTTAAATCCATTTTTTCTCATTAATCTACACTCGGGACCCCATAATGATAAAGTGAAAACAGATTTTTAGAAATTTCTGTGAATTTATTAAAAATAAAAAAACTGAAATATCACATTGGCATACATATTCAGACTCATTGCAACAAAATTTAGCTCAGGTGCCTCTCTTTTCTCTCGATAAGTGATGAGCAGTTTCTACGCCTTGACTGGAGTACACCTGTGGAATTAAATTGATTGGACGTGATTTGGAAAATTAAACACCTCTGAATAAAAGGCCTCACAGCTGACCATGCATACTGTATCAGAGCAAAAGTCATGAGATCAAATGAACTGCCTGCAGGGCTCAGAGATAGCATTATTGCAAGGCACAGATCTGGGGAAATCTACAAAAAGAATACTGGTGCACTGAAGGTTCCCAGGAGCACAGAGACCTCCATAATTCTCTATTAAAAGAAGTTTGGCACAACCAGGACTCTTCCAAGAGCTGGCTGCCTGGCAAAAATGAGAAATCGGGGAGAAGGACCTTAGTAAGAGAGGTGACCAAGAACTTGATGGTTACTCCGACTGAACTCCAAAGATCCTGTGTTAAGATGGGACAAAGTTCCAGAACTACAAACATCACTGCAGCTTTCCACTGATCTGGCCTTTATGAAGTGGTAAGATGGAAGACTCTCTTCTCAGTGCAAAATATATGAAAGTCCGCTTGGAGTTTGCAAAAGCTATAGTGTCAGGCTGCAAAATAACAAAATTTAAAAAGTGAAGGGAGTGGGAATACTCTATTAATGCACTGTATACATACCTGAATGCACATGACTGCAGGCCGTAGGCATCTTCAGCTTCTTTGACCAAAATTTTCTTTTTCATGACAGCACTTGAGCACTAGAACCCTATCGATTTCTATGAGGCAATTTTCCAAGTGGTGTCAAGAGATTGAGTCATAGAAACCTATGGGATTCTACTGCACGGACATGGGAAAGGGAATGAACACATTGGCTGAAGGTGGTGAAGAGTCCTGCGGACAGTGCTTGTCCAATATGGTGTAGTATACACCTAAGTCAGGCAAAGAAAGGAGGGGAGTAGTTTGGGTCAGGGGAACAAAGAATAACTGAACCTTTTACTAAAGTGCAGTTAAAATCATTTAAAATTACTTTTTGGTTTTCATGCAAGTGAAATAAAATCTGTGGTATACAGTAAAAGCAAACGTACTCACCAGTGTACTCTCCCAGTATCAGCCTGGACATTATAACTGTAAAAATAGGTGCTGAACTTTTAACAGTTTCTGCAAAAGACACTGCCACATTCTTCAAGCTGACAAGACCTAGGACCACAGTGGAGAATCTGGAAAAAATTAATATGATGGTAAATCTCAAACTAAAAACAATGTAATTTAGGGAGCAGACATCATAGCTTAAGAGACAAGTAAATGCTAATATACACTACTCCAAAAAAATAAAGGAACACTTTTTAATCAGAGTATAGCATCAAGTCAATTAAACTCCTGGAATATTGATCTGATCAGTTAAGTAGCAGAGGGGGTTGTTAATCAGTTTCAGCTGCATTGGTGTTAATGAAATTAACAACAGGTGCACTAGATGGGCAACAATGAGACGACCCCCAAAACAGGAATGGTTATACAGGTAAAGGCCACTGACATTTGTTTTCCCTACTCATCTTTTTTGTTTTTCCCTAGTTTTGCAGTTGACTAGGGTCAGTGTCACTACTGGTATCATGAGGCAATACCTGGACCCTACAGAGGTTGCACAGGCAGTCCAATTCATCAATACGTGCCATTGCCAGAAGGTTTGCTGTGTCTCCCAGCACAGTCTCAAGAGCATGGAGGAAATTCCAGGAGACAGGCAGTTACTCTAGGAGAGCTGGACAGGGCCGTAGAAGGTCCTTAACCCATCAGCAGGACCGGTATCTGCTCCTTTGTGCAAGGAGTAACAGGATCAGCACTGCCAGAGCCATACAAAATGACCTTCAGCAGGCCACTGGTGTGAATGTCTCTGACCAATCAGAAACAGACTTCATGAGGGTGCCCTGAGGGCCCGACGCCCTCAAGTGGGCCCTGTGCTCACTGCCCGGCACCAGAGAGCTCGATTGGCATTTGCCATTGAATACCAGAATTGGCAGGTCCACCACTGGCTCCCTGTGCCTTTCAAAGATGAGAGCAGGTTCACCCTGAGCACATGTGACAGACCTGAATGGGTCTGGAGAAGCCGTGGAGAATGTTATGCTGCCTGTAACATCGTTCAGCATGACCGTTTTGGTGGTGGGTCAGTGATGGTCTGAGAAAGCATATCCATAGAGGGACGCATAGACCTCTACAGGCTAGACAATGGCACCCTGACTGCCATTAGGTATTACGATGAAATCCTTGGACCCATTGTCAGACTCTACGCTGGTGCAGTGGGGCTTGGGTTCCTCCTGGTGAACGACAATGCCTGGCCTCATGTAGCGAGAGTATGCAGGCAGTTCCTGGAGGATGAGGGCACTGATACCATTGAATGGCACCACACGCTCGCCTGACCTAAATCCAATAGAACACCTCTGGGATATCATGTTTTGGTCCATCCGATGCCGCCAGGTTGCACCTCAGACTGTCCAGGAGCTTAGTAGTGATGCCCTGGTCCAGATCTGGGAGGAAATACCCCAGGACACCATCTGTTGTCTCATTAGGAGCATGCCCGACGTTGTCAGGCATGCATACAAGCACATGGGGACCATACAAACTACTGAGTACCATTTTGAGTTGCTGCAATGAAATTTCAGCAAAATGGACTAGCCTGCTGCATCATTTTTTACCTTTGAATTTCAGAGTGTCTTTGAATTCAGTCCTCTATAGGTTGATAATTTTCATTTCCATCCAATGATGGGGCATCCTTACGTTCCTAACACATTACCCAGTCCATATCAGTATATACAGCACAATATTTTTCCCCATTGAGATCTGATGTGTTTTCAAAGTGTTCCTTCAATTTTTTTAAGCAGTGTATTACTTTAACCCAGAAATAAACAACAGTGTGCAATTGGCTTTCTTCCGGGACGAAAAGAGTACAGCAATTGGAGAGAACAGAAAGGTCCTAGGACAGAGATGCCTGCTTCTGAATGTCACTAAAAGCAGACAGGGGTCTATAGTTTTAAAGTGTTTAAAGTGGTTGTAAAGGCTTAAAATTTTTGATCTTAATGCATTCTCTGCATTTATGTAAAAACCTATGTTCAGATCCCTGCCAGCCCCACCTACACTTACGTGAGCCTAATCTTCATTCGGTGCTTTGCTCCAGAGCAGCAGCGCTGCTCTCTCTTTCCTCACTGGACATGGAGGCAGCAGTCATTGGCTCCATTTGCTGTCAATCAAATCCAGTAAGGGGCCGAGCCGCACTGTGTGTGTCAATAGACGCACGATGTGTGTCAAACACACACAGCCCAGTTCGGGATCAAGCCTACACATGTGCCACCATAGGAAGTGACTTCCTATGGTGGCACAGAGAGAAAAGGAGCCAAGAGCACTGGTGGGGGACCCAAAAAGAGGAAGAAAGGGACCGCTTTGTGCAAAATCACTGCACAAAGCAGATAAGTATGACATGTTTGTTATTCTAAAAAAATAAACTTTACAATCAGTTGATTGTCTAGCTTGTGTCACAACAATGGCTGCCTCCATATATACAAAAGGAGAAATGGTTATAGGCATGGGGGGGGGGGGGGGGGCAGGAAAAATCGTATTTACAGGATCACCAGGCAAAACCAAAGAGAAAAAGTCTGAAAAAGAAAACTAATGCAGCCACCATATTTAGGGTGGCAAAATTGCTACTGGAATAAAATTCAGATAAATGGGTTCAATGATCTCCAAGAGCACCCCTAGGAGTCCTAAAACCTGGGCTCTCAAACCTGGGGATTGCAAAATTTTATTGTTATTGACTGTCACCATGGTCACGTGGACTATGGAAATACATTGTGGTGCCGTTCCAAGCTGGAGAAATTACAGAAATCACCCTGCCGGCAAAGGAAAGAAAGCAAGTGTCCTGAAACAGTCCCAGAGTGGCTAATCAAGTAAGGTGGACGTCGTTCAACCAGCCCCAGGAGTCAGATGTGTAGATGGCTTGGCTTCAGCCACCGCTCTGACCACACCCCCATGACACGTTTCGCGCCATCTCTGTGATCAAGCGCCCGTGGATGGTGCAAAATGCATCAGAGGGCGTGGCCAGAGAAGTAGCTGAGACCAAGCGATGTACATAACGGACTTCTGGGGCTGGTTGAGCGGCGTCCACCTTTTCCCCATGGTCACATGGATGGGAGCTGGTCTTGTCAATTACCGATCATTAGCATGGACCAAGAGCTGTCTTTGGAAACATCAGCCAGACAGTGACATGTGTGGCGTGTAGGGGGTAAAGCCCATCCCTTTGTCATTGTACATGTGTTTTAGGCGGTCGACCCCCAAAATGCATTAGCTTTGTGACATAAGCTTTTATTTCAGTTTGCAATAAATCTATTGTATATGTGGATGATTAACTGTGACTATGATGCTTCACTCGTAAACCTTAGCTAACAGTTACCTGCAGATGCTGGAATAGTGAAATGGCTAGATTAGAAAACCTGCAGAATTCGGGCAAAAGGTCAATTCTTCCATTATACAAGTCTTAGAGAATGAACCCTGTCCATAGAAGGCGTCCCAGATTACCTGCATCTTTCACAGCAGGAGTTACACTGTCCTGGAAATGTACCCTGTACGATAAAAAATAATCACTTTGTAAATTTACCTCATGAGGCCAACAAACAGCATGATCATTAGGAAGTTTGGAGGATAACTGAGTCGTGCTTTGTGCTGGTACAGACAGCAGGGAATGAACATCTTGATGCAGCCAATAAAAGTGGTCATCAGCATTTGTACAGCACCTGAAACAAAAACAGGAACTGTATTCAATTATATATAAATAAATAATTTTCTATTATTTATTTTTTTTAAACACAAGAAATGTTTTTGAATTGGTATCAGCCTCTTGAGGCCTCTTTACAGCAGAGCCCAGACTAGGAGAAGAAGAAGCCAATCAGTTGTGCTGCAGTGCTCATGTAATACAGTAACAAGGAATGCACCATAATAGATGGGAGATTAGACTGACAAAGGTCACCAGTCTGCGGTTTTCCCTTTCACTGTCCAATCACAGGCTGGGGAAGGAAACCTGTCATTTTTACCTACTCGAGGCAAAGACAAAAAAAAAAAATCAATACTACTGCCTTGCTGGAGTGGAATGTGCTGTGTGGTTGAGTTGTGTAAATCTTTGCCTAGAATTCCGCTTTAAATTATGCTGAATCACTTTTCTTTCCATTTTTTTTTTTTTTTGGATTACTCTTTTTACCAGGTGCTCTGCCAAGTTGATAGTTGGCTATTAGGATTTTAATCTATGTGACAGCTCTGAGAAAAGCCTGTACACCCTTGCTTGTCACCCACCAACACTAAGGAGTCATACGGACTAATGCAGGCCATAGACGGGTCATTTATTGGCCGATTATTCACACAGTTAGTGGTGCCCGACCGTCGGCTGTTTTTCGTAGATCGTCTCGTTTACTTTTATCGGTCATGCTGGAAAATCCACGAAAAACGGACGATGGTGGCAGCATTGGCAACGGCGCCGACCGATTTTTCGTTTTATCGGCCGACAATTCGGCCGATAAACGGCCCGTCTATGGCCTGCATTAGGAACAGCTTTCTTTTCAGTAAACAGGTGAGGAACACTGCATTGTCCAGCTAAGTGAGCTGATGAGACACCACTGTTGGATTCTGCTTTGTGTCACCCTGTTGGCAGTTATTACCACTGGTATCAATCTATCAAATGTGAGAAGAAAAGCTGAGATTGAATTGTGGAAGTGGATGACGTGGATGGAATTTCCTGTGATCTCAAATGCTGTTTTGTCAGTGCTTATTCAGCACTTTATTAGTATTTTATATCATTTTAAATTAAAGTGTTTTATTTGCAGTTATACACTGTAGTGATCATTTTCTCACTGATGACTGTGCTTTTCCTGCACCATGGGTGCAGCGTAGTGTACCTGTTTCGTGTGGGTTACCAGGACGTTTGCATAGACTTCTATTGTATACAGCGGTTTTGGAGCACTTTCAGAAAATGCACCAAAACCCCCCCCGATGCAAGAGAAGACTTTGGAAGTGAAGCTAACCCGCACGAACCCCACGTGTATACTGCGCCGTACAAAAATTGCACAGCATCAGTGTGACAGGACTCTAAGGACTGATGAAAAGAAGAGGATGAATGTTAACTACATTTAAAGCGTTTTACACCTTTCAGACTGAAGGTCAAATACTTCTGGTGAGTGTTTTGTTCAGACATCGGTGTAGGGTCACTGATTGAAGCGTTTATGTGACAGCTCTGCATCCTCTGCAATGACCCTTGAAAATCTGTAATGTTATGTATATGCAGAGAGTGCTTACACAGACCTGTATGAATTTTCACCTAGCCAAAAACATTCAACAAGATAGAAGGCAGTAACAGCCTTCTATTAGGAAAGTCAGCATGCTTTAAAAAAAAATGGACATGGAAACACATTCTATTAAGTGCCTTTTGAAAAATAAAGATTTGATATAATAAAATAAGAATATTAAAAAAAAACAGTTTATAGCTTGTAAATTCAAACAAATACTTTCTGTAAAATGTTTTCTAGGCATGTCTGTTTGCAAACACAGAAACAGGATTTGATGACTATGCTCTGAGCTGAAAAAGGAATGTGGCTCTTCTACTGTCTGAAAACACATTATCATGTTTCCAAGGAAAGTCTTGACTTTAAATTGCTGTTAAACACACACGGTCTAGTGTGATTAACAGCACTGATACAAAATGTATGTCGTGCATCAACACAGGTTATAAATCTTTCTTCTCCCTTTTCTGGTTGTGTCACAATCCAGATCTGGGCTGGACAAATTACTGTCACTTGTGATTGGAAATAGTCCCCTGGAGACTATTATTTCCTGTCCTTAAAGTAGAACTAAAGGCAAAATGTCTTTTTCATTTCATTTAATTTAGAATAGAGTAAGGGTGGATTATAATCCTGTCGGTTTTGTTTTGCCATCTGTGTCCCATTGAGAAGATTTCTCTTAATTTCCTGTACCATAATCAAAACAGGAAGTGAGTGGAAATCTCTCCAAAGTGAAGGAATCCCTGGTTGTCACCAGTACCAGTGTCCCCTTTGGGAGATTTCCCCTCTATTTCTGTTCTGCGGACAATCTAAAAATCAGGGATTTTGTTTTACTTTCGATAATAGTAAACAAGACAAATAGAGAGGGTCAATCTCCCTAATGATCTCTGTAGCAAGTGGTGAACAATGAATATAAAACTTAGCTGGTTTCTTTCCAGGTCCAGGGATCCTCTAGTCCTAGCAGTGGATGCCCAAGTGACTCTGCGGCATCAGTTTAACCTGATCTATGCCTTTTCCCCTCTGAAGATATAATGTAGGTTCCAAAGCAATAATGAAAAATCTTGCCTGCAGAAAAAAACTGCTAAAATGTTAAGAAAATAAGAAAAGAAACGGTGAAGAGGGTAAAGATGTCCATTCTCATAGAACAGTAGCAAAAAACGTAGGCATGATGGGAGCGGGTGAACAGATTTTTTTTTTGCCCGTGTCCATTTCTGGAGGAGTGGAGCATAGTCACCCAGGGACACGAAGTGTGTTTATTGCAGGATCACCAGGTGAAAATAAAGAAATGGTAAGTTGCAATATGTACATTTTTTTTTGCGTTTGAAACGCTTGAAAACTTAGCAAGAAGAGAATCCTAAACTGCTAGCAAATGAGCTGTTAAACTGGAAACATTCTTTGTTTTTTAAGTGATATGATATTGTCAATTCACAGAAGCTTACCCAACATGCTCGGCTCCCCCTCCAATAAGGTGAGAATGTATTTATTGAGGAATAGTGTACAAAAGCTGAAGAAAAACCATAATGTGAGGTAGACGAGGGCTCTAGAGTTGAAAACTCCTAGGTCAGATTCGATAACGGTCGTTTCTGTGATAGTGATCTGCAGTACATTCTCTTCTGGAACACTGTCACTTCGTGTGATGACAATCTTCTCAGCCCGATGTGGGAAGAGAGGTCCAATGTGAAAAGGACCTTTACCCTTCAATTTCTCCTGAGGCAGAAGAGGTTTAGAGTCCTCCGGGGAATGCGAGTTACCAGACGGCATCTTGACAGTCATATCCCAGAGAAATATGTCATCTGTTCAATACACCCCATCTGGCATGAAAGGACACCGGCATGTAGTGACATAGCTTGACTCCACACAGCCCGAACAGCAGTCCAACTGTTCCTACACTCCGTATACCTTTAGAGTTATGGTTTGGGCCTTGAGAAAAGAAAAATATTAATGAAGTGTTATAAAACAAGTTTTAAATGAGATATACATGCTTGAGATTTAACAAAACTGGAAAATAAATAGGATGATTAAGTGGCTAACCAGTTAAACACTCTGGACTGGCTGTACTGGGATCCTAGGTTCATATCTCACCAAGGGTAGTACATGCAGGAAGTGTGTATATTCTCTCCCATGCATCTGTGCGTTTTCTTCCACAACCCAGTCTGATAGACATCTACACTTTCCTGTCGCAGCAGGTGTTGGGGGTATCTAAATACGAGTATGCAGTTCAACAGCCACTAGATTTGGACCCACTGCACTCTGCAGTCAGCTCTCAGAACTGTTCAGACACTTCCCTCCTCTTTTTTACAATACAGGTCTGTAGAAAGAGACAGACCGCTGCAAAATGAGCGCACAAACCAGCCTTTTTAATTACAAAAAAAACTACTATTATAAGGCATTTACCAACAAAAAAGTCATAGCATGCAGTAGTAAAGACTGTGTAAAACTGTGGTAGGTACATGAGATAGAAAGCTCCTCCAAAGGACTCACTAGGTGGTTCAATACACTCTGTAAGGTGCTTTGGAATACATCAATGTTATACTGAGAATTTGACACAAACATGCTAGTGTTAAAGACACATCTAGAGTTTTAAGGAGAACCTGAACCATGGAAGCTGTGCCCAAAAATACAAGCAAAAAGGCCATGGACTGGTTATTAGTATTACCAGTGGACTCCCTAAAGCTGGTATTCTGCCCATCAGTGTCTTACTGGGTTTATTTACTAAACCTGGAGAGTACAAAATCTGGTGCAGTTCTGAATACCAATCAGCTTCCAGTTTTTTTTTTTTTTTTTCCTACAAAGATTAATTGAACAAGCTGAAATTTGAAGCTGAATGGCTACCATGCATAGCTGCACCAGATTTTGCACTCTCAAGGTTTAGTAAATCGAACCCACAATGTTCTGTTCCACGCTTTTGCTTTTTAAAAGTAGCCACATTGGAAGAGGCATGCTTTTACAAAGTTAGTCATTTTAACCTCCCTGGCGGTATTCCCGAGCATAGCTCGGGGTAAAGTTTCGGTACCACAAGCAGTAACCATGAGCTACACTTGGGAATACCTTGCAGCGCTGCTCCGGGATCTCTTCTTCACTTACCTTGTCCTGCGCTCCCGCGATGTCCCTCCTGCAGTGTCCCTGGCAATGTCCTCCGGCCGATGCCGGCATCGGTCTTCTGGGTTCCGTCCCTGCGACGTCAGGGTGGAACTGGCGGGAAATTTTAAAATGTTAAAAGTGACATTCACTAAATTCACTAAAATCACATAGTAAAACATTACTGTATCAAAGCATTTCACATACATTTTGTCCCTAATGCTTTGTCCTGTGCCCTGCCTGCATTTTTACCGTTCTTTCTGCCTGGAAACTGAGAAATGTCCATGGCATCCAAAAAGGGTCCCTTTAGGTCAAAATCGGTTTTAGACTGGCTAGAGAACAGTGATAGTAAATCAGAACCACTTGCAGAATTGAGTGATAATGATTTGTGGGGAAATTCGTCATCAGACACTGAAAACGTTTTTGCGACTGAGCTCAGTGATGTGTGAACTGGCGCTATATTTCAAATGTAAGTGTTTTTGGTTTGATTACATAATTGAATTACATTTATTATATTATTTTTTATGTTTATTTATTATATTATAATTTATGATTTTGTGTTTCAAAGTTTAACATACCTGGGATGTTTACTAGACTGTTGTTCGGACAGATTTCAGTGAGTTATTTTTAAAAATTACAGGCCTACAATAAAAAAAACTACATATTTCCATGCAAAAAAATGTACCACTTTGAGCACAGAAATATGGACAAAATCAGACCGCTAGGGAGGTTAATAGCTACAGTACTTTGTGTCTTCATGTCAGAGCCACCCCCCCATGACTGGTGATCTGATGACTGGAGGGGGAATGACCAAGAAGAGGCAAAAGTGAAGAAATGTCTGCAGAATTAATTAGATGAAGGAAGAGACATACAGTGCAAGTCCTCAGGTACAGCTTTCTTTTCAACAAGAACAACAGTGAGCAGCACAGTAGTGACATCACCAAATATTACCAGACTAGGAGTAAGAGGCAGAATTGCTCTAGATAAAAAACTACGAGGCTGTAGGCATACTAGTATCTAGGACATCTCACATCAGGAAGTGCACTGCTAATTTTCAGGGGAAATTCAAGGCAAAAAAGTAAAATTTCCTTAGGATAGTGTTTAGTCACAATTACCATTTCTAAATAATTAATTTAAAACAGTAAGAGCCCATGCACACTGGCTTAAAACTCCAGTGCTCTTAGCAGAAAAAAAACACTAATTTTGAGCGTTTCTTGTATTAGCATTCTTCAGGAACATTTTTCTTGCAGAAAAAAATGCTAAACGCTCCTAAACACAAAACAGAAGGGTTTTGCTGAGCTTAAAAAATGCCTCTAGACTACCTAATGTGCATGGACACATAGGATAACATCAGTTGCTTCTAAAGGCAAAATGCTAAACTCCTCTAGGAGCAGCATTTTTAAGTCTGTGTGCATGGAGCCTAAATGTTCACATTTTGAGTTCAGGTCCCACAACATGTTAGATTTCCAAACATGAAAGTAGAGCCTTATTAGAACAGAAGGTATCTCTCCATGACTCCCTTCTCTGTAACAAGTGTGCAGGCTAGGAGTACCTACCCCGACTGGGTGTGAGCTTGTTTTGGGTCAGTGATTCAAAGTATTGAGGCCAAAAACAGCCAGGCTTTCAGTATTTAAAGGCGGCCTCCTTTACATCTTTCAGCCCAGGACTCCTTTAATAATTAGTAATGTAAACATCATGCAGAGTAAGGTGTCAGCATATCTCCAGCCATCTATTATTGAAGGCTCACCTGACAACCAGACCCAACATGTCTTATTCATGCACCAGTTTCTCAGGGGGATAGAGTGAAGCAGCCACAACACTCACAAACTGTTTCTACTAACACCTTAGATCAAATCAAGCCAGCATTCAGTGATATGTTAGTAAAGCTAACCAGGCAACTGCTTTGGTTTGTTCATTTTAAAGGAGAAGTAGGGCTAGAGCTCTTTATTTTCATCCACAATCATTTCATGCACATTTTCATCCAGACATACATTGCACAAATTTTGGGGTATAATTCAGCCCTTTTTTTTTTTATTATTATTATTATTATTATAATACAGTATTTATAAAGCGCCAATAGTTCGCTCAGCGCTGTACATTACAAAGGGGGACAGAACATGTGACAGAACAATACCAATACAATGCAAAACATGAGGGGATTGAGGGCCCTGCTCTTTCGAGCTTACAATCCTTTATAAAACAAACAACAAAGAGGGTGCAAACACCTAGTGCATTACCCTGACATTTTGCTGTATAAAAAACAAAATAAAAAACTATACTCACAAACACAGCAAGCAAAAAGCTTACATATACATAAAGCCCCATAGAAAATATCACTCTCCAACACCACCTGGAGACGAGATGACAAGCTGTGGCACATTTCGGGGATCAAGTCCCCTTCCTCAGAGCTATGGCTGCCTCAGTGTCTTGTTGCGTCAGTGGCTTGTGGTCATCTCATCACCAGGTGCTGTTGGAAAGTGGACTTTTCTATGTGGCTTTATGCATTTGTACGCTTTTAGCTCACTATGTTTGAGTATAATTTTTATTTGTTTTATATATTAAAATTGTCAAGGGTAATGCACTAGGCGTTTGCGCCCTTTCTGTTGTTTATGTTTTATACAGTGCTGGATTTCCCTGATCTGAGGAGGGCTGCATTGCCGTTTCACTTTTTTACACCCTGATTGCTACTAGACTGGTCATCACGAGTGCCTCTGTCCACTTCTGAACGCTTGGGTGCCAATTCTGCTTGTTCCATAATTCAGCCCTTCCTCAGGCACTTGAGGAGAGCCTGAGCATATGGATCTGTGAGCCTTCAATAAATGGGTTGGTCCTATAATGGACTGAAATTTTATTTTAGGAAACTGAGGAGATTAATAAAATTCTATTTCCAAACAAAGTGTAATTTGTGATGAAAAAAACTTTAAAACTAAAAACCTCACAGATGTCACGAGGTGTACAAATAATGAGTGAGAAAAATCAGTACGTGGTTAAACTTTAGATAACTACATTATACAAACTTTTCTTTTAGGTTTAATACCGATTAATCAAAACAATAAAATCGTCCGCCTAAGCAACTATGAAAATAATCAGTAGTTGCAGCCCTAAATGGCACCCCAAGCATGGGTATCAGGTGCACATTCGCCGTGCATTGTCGCATGACAAACGTGCTGCAAACACACCGAAGAGTGAGGTAAAGCAACGTACCACGTGTGCTGGAGCTTCTTTAGAGCATTTATCATGCATAGGGCAGTCCATTCAGGTGAGTTGGCTGCCCTATGCATGATGAGCAAAAAAGCTCCAAAACGCTTCCCAAAAAAACATTTATGAGATGTGAATGAGATCTGACAGTTGAGGGTCTCCTTCCACTCCTCCTATGTACAGTGGGGAAAATTATTATTTGATCCTCTGCAGATTTTGTCAGTTTGCCCACTTACAATGAAATGAAGGGTCTATAATTTTTATCATAGGTGTATCTTAAATGATAGAGACAGAATATCAACCAAAAATCCAGAAAAAAAAAAAACCCACAATACAAATGTTATAAACTGAGTTGCAGATCAGAGGGTAAAATAAGTATTTGATCCCCAAGCAAAACATGACTTAGTACTTTTTGGAGAAACCCTTGCTGGCAAACAGAGGTAAGATGTTTCTTGTAGTTGGTTACCAGGTTTGCACATATGTCA